AAACAATTGACAGTTTATACCCTCTTATTTAATTAATCTCTTTAAGTCACCAAATTAATTCCAATTAATCTATGACTTATATTAATCAAATAACCATATATTATTCCTTATAATATTTACTCTCTCTTAACAAATCATCCATCAAGTTGCTATGGTGAAGGCAACCCAAAAGGACCATGCACAACCGGATCAAATACTTGCCTAATATAGTTGCAGCCTTAGACACTATTCCAACATTACTGACTCGCTGGGTCCATGTAGAAACCCACCACAATCAATCTTCACCTGAATCGTCGAGTTTACCATGCAACTCGTCGAGTCCCTTCACTCCATTTCTCATTCAGACGTTTTTAAGCTACCCTAAAGCTCCAAAATGCAGATCTAACCTCATAGGGCATGATTTCCACGTAAAGTTGCAAACTTTACGTACATGCATGGTCCTAGATGCCAAAACCAAGTTAAGGGAAAGGTTTAACCCAAAGAGAAGGTCCTAATCTTGCTAAATCTAGTAACTTTATGGCTATAGGGACTTATATGAGTCAAGATCTGAAGTTGCAACTTCAGATCATGCCTAATACCTGAAACAATCCTCAACCCAATAGAAAATGGCCCTAAGCGTTTGTATGAAGAGATATAGCCAAAGATAAGTGAAGGTAACGACTTGTTATCTTCAAAATGATGTCAAGCTGAAGTAGAGTCAAATCCATAAGCTTCTCTTTACTCCAAGCTCCTTAGAATTCAAGCCTTCTTCACAAAAACCACTTTCCAAGCTTCTTTACACACAAAAATGGAGAGTATTCAAGATTAGGCTTTTCTGATCTCAAAAGGAACGATAAGGGAGGTTGATAACCCTTTAAATACGGTGCAAAACCCTGGAAATTAGGGTTTCATTTCCCAGCTCCTACTCGTCGAGTTGAGGTCCTCCAACTCGTCGAGTAGACCCCTTAAATGCGCGAGGTCTGAATCGTTTCTACATGACGATTTGGGGCATCCAACTCGTCGAGTAAGTCCAAGAACATGACTAAAAACTTTAAACTTTATACCTGGGAGTCGGGATGTTACATAATTAAAGGAAATTTTTATGTGTAGGAGTCTAAGAGAGTTTAATTTCAGAGCAAGAGTCTTTGCAGCTATACCCAATTATCGAGGTGAGTTACCTTCCAGTAGAAGTGGGTCAAAGGCACCAACGCCGACCTACTAGTAGTTGTTATATTTGAGATGATTGTCTTTGTGATAATTGTCTAGTAAACCACTATTTGTTATGCTTTATGTGCTAGGATGCTATAATATTATGTGATAATGGTAGGAGGGGTGGAATAGTCCCCGATTACCAGTTGAAAGAGACCAAAGGGGTAGATAGTACCAATAGATGTCTAGCAATATGTTTATGATATGTTATTATGTGGTAATGGTAGGGGTGAAATAGTCCCTGTAAACGGTTAAGATAAATTGGAGGGTCGGTTGGATACCCAAATATGCCTAATAGGGGTAGGTCGGAGACCCCGATATGTCTGACAGAGGTAGGTTGGGCACCCTGGTATGCCTAACAGGGGTAGCTTGAGCACACTGATATGCTCACCAGGGCAGGTCGGGCACCCTAATATGCCTGATAGTATGTTTATTGAATAGCATGTGGTATGATGGGGGATCTCACTAAGCTTTGTGCTTACGGTTTTCAGCTTTTGTTTCAGGTACTTCTTCTTTGAAGAGAAAAGAGCCAACATGATTGCAGCGCATCACACCACTATTTTTAGCACTATGATGTTCTTGGGATTTGTACTCTGTCATTATTACGACTTGTTTTGAGACATATGGCTTATGGTTTTTATGATATGTGATAACTCAATGATGTTTTCAACAATCTGTTTTATGAATTATTAAATTAAAAATGAAATTTTTGGTCTTGGATTTTGGGATGTTACATGTGGTATGTGGTATTTTGGGGAAACTCATTAAGCTTCGTGCTTACGATTTTCAGTTTATGTTTTAGGTACTTCTGGTGCAAAAGGGAAGAGTTCAGGGTGATTGCAGTGCACACACAGTAGTATTCCACATTTCATGATAACTCTAATATTTTATGATGTTTTGATACATTTGTTCCACTTGGGATTTATGGTGATGTTTTGGGATATTGTTTTATTAATTGAAAAATGAAATTTTTCGATCTTATTTTTGGGACGTTACAACAACCTAGAAGAGGGTACCCCATTAACCCTTACATATAATCGATGCCCCAGATGTCCATCTGTACTGCCACTGACATCTATCACCCTTTATGCCACCCCATTTCGACCTTATAGCGAGACGATAAACTCTAACCCCATCCCACTGCCACTATCAATGCCAACATCACACCATTCACAGGTACCACTAACCCTCAATTTCATCCATCATTGCTACCAAACCTCACACACACTAACAAGAAAAAATCCCCCATCGTAAGTCGATTCTCACTTTCCCTTTCTCATATACTACAATTACACCAACAACCAACACCACTCATTTTCCTCCATTACACCACATCTCCTAATACGAACCCCAACACGATTTGCCATCACTGGATTAAAAGTAAACAAATACCTTCGAAGGTACTCCATGTAACATTAATTGTTTAGTAAATTTACATTTTTTACCCTAAAGTGAAATTTTCTTGCAAATTAGTCCCATTGCTCCCTTATATGGTATGCATGTTTTTACATGTATGCGAGGCATACTCATGCATACACCGATGTACGTAGTTGATGTCCAAACCCTCAATCGCCGCTTGCAAACCCTAATCCTTTGTGTGAGCCTTTTTGAGCTTGAGAGTGTATTTTTTTTGTGTTCTTGGAGGAAGGAGAAGGAAGTGGAATCATCTTGGAAGCTCAAGGAAACCTAGATCCAGGAGTATCTCACCCTCAAGCATCATTTGGAGGTATACAGCTTGGAACTTGATGAGGTATTTGCTTAGATCTTGCTAGTCTAGAGTTTGTGTACATTTTTGTTCCCATAGTTTTGATATAACGGAGTATGAGCTACTCCATGTCCTTGAAATATAGTTTTCTGTAGTTTTGGAATTTTCAAGCAAGTTGAAAACTTGTTAGGTCATATCCATAATTTTTTACAAACCATGATGATCTATTTTACAATTTTGTCTATAAATTTATACTTACCGGGTCTATCATATGTAGACGCATTCACATCACTAATATTAAAACAAATATAAAGATATATGTATACTATTTAATGTTATTAAATTTTTTATTTAATTATATAATTTCTTTGATCCAATATAACATGCCATCAATACTAACGATTTTATGGTGCAATTTTAATTTTGAATTTTGAATTATGATGTTTATTTTATTATTTTAAAATATTTTTATTTAAAATTGTATGTTTGTTTCATAAAGTATGAATATATGTAATATATTAATAACTATATTTCATTCACCAAAAGCATATTAAATCGTTTTCATTGCATACACATTTGGATAGATTCATTTGGTGTAGATTGGTTTTTTTGTTTTTACATTTTGATTTGTTTTATAAATATATATTTATGCATTTTTTAAAAGCAAATATTTTATAAATTACTTTAAAGAAATCCAAACTGTATGATAACATGTTACAATGTTGATGCATTTCTAAAAAAAAGAAATGACTTACAAGTCCAACGAAGTTTTCAAACCGTTCAAAAAACTTCAATTATGTTTTGTCTGTTAAAAAAACCCAACAAACTTAACATTTTGTCTAAAAAGCCTAACCAAGTTACACTTTCCTGAAAGTCAAATAAGAGAAACAGATGATGTGACTTATTACCGTATCGGAAAAATGACTTGTTAGACCAACGGAGTTTCCAAAACGTTTAAAAAACTTCAATCATGTTTTGACTGTTCAAAAAAACCCCGATGAACTTAAACAAAACAAAATTGGGACTTTTTGAACGGTTTGGAACTCTGTTGAACTTTTTAAACAAAATGTTAAGTTCGTTGGGTTTTTTTTAAATAGATAAAATATAATTGGGGTTTTTTGAATGGTTTGGAAACTTCATTGGCTTTTTAAGTTATTTTCCCTTCTAAAAATCCAGATTAGGAAGCTTCATATGTATTACTTTTTACTTTTTATAATTTGATTTAAAATAACTAGTCACATGTAGTAATGACTTGATATGAGTTTATTTTTTTTTAACATTTTGATATTTTGTATTCTTCGATATGTAAATAGGTTATGACGTATTGTTTATTTGCAAGTCATTTTTTATGTACCATTATTTTTAAATTCGATGGTAAAATGAACATTTATTTAAATATTGACAATTGTGTTCATTATAGACATTGTCACAAACCTTCACAAATGTGTGTGTGGGTGGGGGGATGCTTATTGCTTATTGTGGAAGGAATAAATTAAATAAACTAATCAAACACATTTTAAAAAACTGTTTATTCTCACCACAATAAACTAATAAGCTAAAAACATATTTATCCAAACACCCCCTAAAATGGTGGAGTAACATGTAAATATTTAGAAGATTATCAAACAAAAACAGAATGTCACAAACCTTCACAAATGGTTAAACCTTTTCAAATGTTTTTTTCCCGGTAAATTAACTTATTCTCATTATCTATTTAAATGTTTTATAAAGTTTCTCAAATAATTTGTCATTTTATACATACGAAAAATAATATTAATTGGCATTAATATCTAAATAAATGTAAAAATGGATGTAGCACAATGTTTTTTTAATCTTTCATATTTGTGTTAGTTTGAAAGTTATGACAAGTACATTTTAATTATATAACTTTTTATAAATATTTTTTATTTTTAGTTTGTTCATTTACTTAAATAGATTAGCTAATACAAATAATTTAGTATCGAGTTATAAGTAAGGTGGAAAATGAAATGTTATTAAATGTAAAAGCCAAAATAGATACTTTACCAAACGGTATAACCTATTAAAAAAAAGCTTTCATTTTCAATGGTTAAAAACTATCTAAAAACTTTTTCAAATAGTAAAAAGTTTTGCCAAAAGCTACCACTAAAAGTAGTCTTAGAATATAGAACCTCGCTTCTTACATGTGTTTTGAACAAACTATAATGCCAAGTGGAATTGTTTTTGAATAAAAATATTTGATTGTTAACTAAAACTTTAAAAAATCTTTATAAAGGACACGTAAAACCCAACAAATTTAGCTTTCTTCAACTTGAATGAAAAAATGGACAGCTATAACATAACATCCAACCTCAAATGACTGGTTTTATTTTGTTGATGTTAAGATTGAATCTATTCAGAACAACTATTCTCAACTACCAATTAACCTCTGATAAATATGTGTAAAGAACTGGAAACTTCTGGAATCTTGGTTATCAATCTTTAGATGTAAGAGCCAGAAAACCCAAAGCACTGATAAGAACATACTGCAAGATGCCAACATCAATCAGAATTGACTAAATGCAAGAAATAGTAATGTACTTTCTGTTTTCTATGTTTTATAGCATTATTACTTAATTTTTTATTATTACAACTTTATACTTTCAAAAATCAGAAAGTATACATACCTTTATAATGGGTTTTTCAGTCATTACGATTGTAATATAACCAACATAAGGTAAAAACCTGCAAATAAATGGTGTTTTTAGATCTTGAAACAAAGTAGATATCTTGGAAATAGTATAAAAAGCCAAAAAGATAGTTGACTGGTTGACTTTTTAGTATGACTTCCAAATATTACTGAATCTAAAGCATGTGACAGATGTTTTGCTCATACCCAACAGCTCTACCCATGATATGCTGCCTTTGAAGCCATTGCTGACCTGGCGCATATAGACCTCGGTCATTCGTAGGATTATTATCCCCTGAGAGAGAGAGAGAGAGATTGTCATAAAAGAGCACTTAACTGAGAATTGGTCTAAATTTATAAAAAAAAAAAATAATACCTTTTGTAAGAATATCAATATCTGATGTATCATTACGTTGATGAACCTGTAAAAAGAACCAATAATATATACACTTTAAATTAGCAGATGAATAAAAAGAAATTCCATGTTACTTGGTGGAAACTCAAGGGTTATAAAAATGTAATACCTTGATCACACGATGAACAATGGGAATCTCACGACGCTGAATGAAATTTATTAAAAAAAAATGAAAAAGTTTAGAGATTAAACAGAAAAGTGATAAAGAGTCATAAAGGATTAGGGTAACAAAAAGAAATTGGAAGTCTTACATCAATGTTGAACACAACAATTTCACCTGCTCGAATAGGGTCTTCACCCATTCGTAAGAACAGAATATCTCCCTGATGATATAAAATATAATTGGGCATCGGTTTCAAGAAAATATATGAAGAAGAAATTAAAGAATTCTTACAAAGTTAATTGGACAAACTTACCCTTTGGAATGCAGGCTCCATGCTTTCAGAAAGAACAACTACAACAGGTGATTCACTACCAGTCACACACATCAGAAATTTCCATAGAATTAGTGCAGATGAAACAATCATACCTGAAGTCAAAACCAAAATGTATCTTGACTTAAGTAATCTGATAAAAAAAATAAATGTATCAAGGCGCATTTTACATTGGCATGTCACCATTAAGCTTGAATCTAGATTGTTGTCTACACCATTAAAAAATTAACAATCATTCGTTATTGAGTTGTTTTAACAAACAATCTTGATTAGAACCAGAGCTTCATTCACAGATATAAAAACTTAAAATTATGAGTTATACAAGAGTGTTGATGCTTTCTCTTCCTAATTTTATACAATAAGAATGCTCTGAAACTTCTCCTTCAATGCAAATTTAGGTTTTCTCCATAAGTATAAAAAATCTGAGAACAGAAGAATCGAAATACATGAAAATTTTAATTCCCAAATTCTCGGATCATATGCAGAAATCAGAAATCAGAAATGAATGAGTGAAGGTATACATCTAGGTTACATGTTGTAGAAAGAGATAGGATACCGTACCCAGGGTGATGGCCTGCTCTAATGCTTGTCTGACATTAATGGACTTCAACGAACCGATCGAATCTCCGATGAAACCCATCGTTTTTAAAGTTTCGATCTTTCTAAATTATAATCTGCTTCCGACTTCACTTTGACTCCGATTTCATAAATCAAACTTTAACAGGGGTTGGGTGATTGAACGTCTATGGAATTCTTAACAATTCTTTTTAATATTAATATTTAGATTACACATTATATAAGTATAAAAGTCACTAAAGTTTTGTCTAAGATTTCATAACAATTTCCATTTGCTTCCGTTTTCAACCTTAATCGGGCTGCCATCCAGTTGCATCATTCAGCAAGTCATCTCTTGCCACGTGTATGTACTGCTCACGGGATTGCCCACTAGGCATCCCACTTCGCCGATTTTTAAAAATAATGTGCTATATTATTTAGAATTCGTATTTTTTAAATTTGACCCTTTAACTATTATTAGTTTGGTATATTGTCAAACTCAATATTAATAATTAAGTAACCATTAGTTGTCTATTTCTAATTAATGATTATTACTAGTATTATTTTTATTTTTTCATTAATAGTTACTTGCTATTTGTTTAAAAAGAGATGTAAGATCTTATGCAAAACATGTTGACGAGAGCTAAAGAATAGGAGTGGTTGTTGTATTCCTTATTAATAGGTTGTAGATAAAAGAGTTAGTTGTTAATACTTGTATAAATGTATGTACTCATTTTCAAGATCAATTTAATTGAAAAACGCAGGAATTATTCATCCATACGAATTCTGCTAAATCTCTACATGGTATCAGAGCGAAGCAAAATCTGATCCTTCGAAATATTGAAGCAATATGGGGTCTGGTGACGCAGATACAGGATCCTCTACCCCTGTTATCGTCCAGAATGTTCAGGACGCCCCTTTCCCCACCGGAATCATCCTCGATGACACAAATTTCCCGCTGTGGTCCCAATTAATGGAAATGCGAATTGGTGCTCGCAACAAATTAGGGTTCCTCACTGGTACAACGAAGAAACCCACAACGAATGAAAAGGCGATTGAAGTATGGACGACAGATAACAATCGAGTGAAGAGTTGGTTGATTGACTCCATGAGTCCAACCCTAATGCGCAGGTTTATTAGATTAAAGACGGCAGCAGAAATCTGGAATGCAGTTTCGAAAACGTTTTATGATGGAACCGATGAAACTCAACTCTTTGAGTTGAATCGAAAATCGTTCAACACCCGCCAAAACGGACGTCCACTTCCAACTTACTACAATGAATTAGTGAGCCTTTTCCAGGAAATTGATACACGATTGGAGGGAGACGAAGAGACAGTTGATGAAACGGTTGTGGCTAGCAAGATGTTGTCAAGGTTCCGTGTCCACATCTTCTTAGCTGGATTGGATTCTGAATTCAACCAGGCAAGAAGCAAATGCTTAAGGAAAGACCCACCACTCAGTCTTGAAGCATGCTATGCTTACATCAGGAAAGACTCCAGTCAGCGACAAGCCATGGAAGACACACCGGTTGAATCAGATAGTGTGGTTCATGTTGCAACACGAAACCGAACTGCGAAAGGAAAGGGTTCTAATGGAAAAGGAGGAGGAGGAAACACCTTCAAATGCACTCACTGTGGAGAAGAAGGACACTCTAAAGCCAAGTGTTATGAGATAATTGGCTACCCAGATTGGTGGGATTTTTCAAAAAGGCCAAGAAAGAAAGTCGGACAAGCTTCAGTGGCAACCTCGACCTCGGAGACTCAAGAACTAACCCCTCCTATGGCAGCACACACCTCCACTAGTTCTGGTAAGTCTCAATATAAAAATACTCATAGTAATGAGTGGATAATCGATACTGGAGCCTCAGATCATATGACAAATAACCTTGACAACTTAACTGCATCACATACCCCTAAACAAATGAACATCTATACAGCTAGTGGTGAAGTCGAAAATGTCACAGCTGAAGGCACTGTAAAAGTATCTAGCTCTATGGAGCTTAACAAAGTCTTAGTAGTTCCCTCGTTGTCTTCAAATTTACTATCAGTTAGTCAGATTACCGAAGCTCTAAACTGCTATGTTACTTTTTGGCCGAATAATTGTGTATTTCAGGACATTATGACACACCAGATTCGTGGCTATGGTACTAGGAGAGGGAGGCTATACTATCTGGAAGAAGACTATCGAAGTCAAGCAAATCATGTAGGAGTAACTCACGCGAATAAAGCCATGGCCATGTTATGGCATCGTAGACTTGGGCATTTATCCTTTAGTTATCTTAGAAAAATGAAACCAAATTTGTTTTTGAATGTATCAGATGATGAATTTAGTTGTAGGATATGTGAGTTATCGAAAAATAAAAGAATATCTTACTCTCCTAGTGATACTAAAAATTTGGTACCATTCATGACAATTCACTCTGATGTATGGGGTCCGGCACCAATCCAGACCCCGAGTGGTGCTCGTTACTTTGTTACGTTTACAGATGAATGCACACGCATGATTTGGATATCTCTCCTCAAAAACAAAGGAGAAGTATTCAAAGCCTTTACAGAATTACATAAGTTCATAAAAACTGAGTATAGGAGAGAAATTCATACTCTACAATCGGATAACGGGGGTGAGTATGTTAGTTGGGAGATGAAAAACTTTTGTAAAGAAAATTTGATACGACATCAAACTTCTTGTTCACAAACCCCACAACAGAACAGACTTGCTGAACGTCGAAATAGATCAATCCTCGAAATTGTTCGCGCTTCCCTCTTTGATATGACAGTACCACGCAAGTATTGGGGGTAAGCAGTTCGATCCGCTGCCTATATCATGAATCGTACACCTTCAAGGGTCATTGAATTCAAGACTCCTCTACAAAAACTACATGACCTCATAGAGATTGCACCAAATCAGAATCTTGAACCTCGAATTTTTGGGTGCACGGCCTATGTTCATCAAAATATAGGTAAACTTGAACCAAGAGCCATTCGATGCTTCTTTATAGGGTATGCGGACTATAAGAAGGGTTACCGGTGTCTTGATCCCCAAAGTGGAAAGGTATATGCCACTCGTGATGTGTCGTTCCATGAAACTATTCCATACTTTGACCATAAGGATCCGCTTCAGGGGGAGAGATGTCATGAAGAAAATAAAAATGAACAAAGTCCCAACCAGAATGAGTTTTTTGAAATCTTTGAAAGACAGCAAGATGGTAACACCAACCTAGAAATCGAAGATGCTGATGAACAACAACAAGCTGGTGACACCAACCTAGAAATGGAAGAGGTAGATACTCACGAAACCGAAGTCACCGAAGAACCGGTTATCGAACAGGAGCATAATCAAGTGATTGAAGATACTAATGAAACTGGTAATACTATGCCAGATGTGTCTGTTTTGCAGGAAAATGAACAGGGAAATGATGATATCTCAAACCTTGAAGAAGAAGATACTGATCTTGAAACAGGAGGTGTACAGAGATACCCTATAAGAAGCAACCGGGGGAAACCAAAGAAACAGTATCAACCAGATGTGAAGGCAAGAGGAAAATATGCAATCATTAATTATGTTTCGTAACATAGGTTGGCATTACCACATGCACTCCTGGTAGAAAATTTAACCACCACATCAATTCCAAATAATGTACAAGAAGCCTTGAGTGACGGAAGGTGGAAGAATGCAATGAATGAGGAAATGAAGGCACTTCAAAAGAATGAGACGTGGGAACTTGTGAGACTTCCTAGTGGACATAAGACTGTGGGGTGTAGGTGGATTTACACTATCAAACTGGACTCAAATGGGAACATTAACAGGTATAAGGCCAGATTAGTAGCAAAGGGGTACACACAAAAGTATGGAATAGACTATGGTGACACGTTTGCCCCGGTGGCGAAGATCAATACCATTAGAATTCTTGTTTCAATTGCTGCAAACAAAGACTGGCCTCTTAAGCAATTTGATGTAAAAAATGCGTTCCTCAACGGATATCTGGAAGAAGAAGTTTATATGGATCCCCCACCAGGTATTAAATGTGAAGGGAAAGTGTGCAAGCTAAAGAAAGCCCTGTATGGAATGAAACAATCCCCACGTGCATGGTTTGGAAGGTTTTCAACATTTATGAAGAAGATTGGATATAAGCAAAGTGATGCTGATCACACTTTGTTTGTGAAAGCAAAAAATGGGAAGGTGACTGCCCTAATTGTTTATGTTGATGACATGGTAGTGACAGGAAATGATAATGTTGAAATGAAGAATCTCCAAAGAGCATTGGCCACTGAATTCGAGTTGAAAGATCTAGGAAGTTTGAAATACTTCTTAGGGATTGAGGTGGCAAGATCAAAGGCAGGAATATCAATGAATCAACGAAAATATGTGCTAGATCTCTTAGCAGAGACTGGGATGTTGAACTGTAAACCGGTAGATACCCCTATCGAAACAAATCACTATTTGGAGATACTTCCCAATCAAATTCCAGCAAATAAAGATCGGTATCAGAAGTTAGTAGGAAAATTGATCTACCTATCTCACACAAGACCAGACATAGCTTATGCTGTGTTTGTGGTCAGCCGGTTCATGCATGCGCCAAGTGAAATTCATATGAATGCAGTATACCGGATCTTGAGATATCTTAAATCATCTCCAGGAAAGGGCATATTTTTTGGAAAAAATCAAGATCACCATGTTAGTGGCTTTACAGATGCGGATTGGGGTGGAGATCGAAATGATGGAAAGTCCACTTCAGGTTATTTCACCTTTGTTGGTGGTAACTTAGTCACATGGAGAAGCAAGAAACAAAAGGTGGTCTCAAGGTCAAGCGCGGAAGCTGAGTATAGAGGAATGGTTCATGGCATTTGTGAACTGTTATGGATAAAGCGGATTCTAAGAGATCTAGGGGTCTCATTAAGATCACCCATGAAGCTATATTGTGATAATGAATCAGCAGTGAAGATTGCTAATAATCCTGTACAACATGACAGGACAAAGCACATGGAGATTGACCGACATTTTATTAAAGATCACTTAGAAAGAAATATTGTGGAGCTTCCACATGTAAGCTCTGAGGATCAACTTGCAGATATGCTAACGATGGCAGTGTGTGGGAGAGTATTTCATAGCTCTCTTGACAAGCTGGGAATGAAGGATATACATTCTCCACCTTGAGGGGGAGTGTTGACGAGAGCTAAAGAATAGGAGTGGTTGTTGTATTCCTTATTAATAGGTTGTAGATAAAAGAGTTAGTTGTTAATACTTGTATAAATGTATGTACTCATTTTCAAGATCAATTTAATTGAAAAACGCAGGAATTATTCCTCCATACGAATTCTACTAAATCTCTACAAAACAAGGGTTTTAAACATGTATGTTGGCGTGGAAGTTTATAAATTCTACTGGTACAAAAAGTTATTTTTTACTAAATAATTAATACTAAATATTATTTCCTACAAAGATTAAAGATATACAATTTTTATATTTCCTTGCTATTATCTATAGACCATTTTTGTAATTTTATTTATACTATTTCAACATAATGTAGACTATTGGAGGTCGAAATGAACATCTCAACCATAATAAAGGATTATGGTCACCAATACAGTAAGTGAAGTTTATCGATTTTTCAATGACCATATTCATTCCCCTTTTGATCGTAACCATTAATTTTTTACTAGTTTTACTGCAAGTGATAGAATCTAGGGGTGTTCGTTTGGATGAATTAGTTCGATCCAATCCAATCAAGTCAATTTGGTTGGATCGGTTTTTATTATTCGGTTTTTAAAAACTAAAACATTTTTAAACGAAATATAATTATAAATATTATCGAATTTTACACAAGAAGAAAAAATAAATTATTTAGTTACGATTTGAAATTTATAAACAACTATTAAGAATATATATTATATTTTAATAATTTATAGATAATAACTTTTAAGAGAAAACACATATTAATATTTTTTACTAGATGAAACTTTTTGAGCCTATTTCAAAAAATAAATTACAAATTAATAAATAATTATAGATATATATTAAAAATAAATAGATTAAAAACTGTTATTTGTTTTTTTTGGACTATTCGGTTTTTATTTTATAAACCATAACCAATCCGAAATCCAAAATAATAATTCAGTTTTGTCGAAAACCAATCCAAAAATTTGAATATCCGAACCAAATTGTCCAATCCAAATTGTCCAATTGAACAGTTCGGTTTTATCCAAATACTGATGGAACCCACTATACTTGTTTGTTACTATGGGTTCTTCTACACACATACATAGTGTGTGTGTGTGTCTATATATATATATATATATATATATATATATATATATATATATATATATATATATATATATATATATATATATATATATATATATATATATATATATATATATATAATGTCCAAAATCAAATGGCTGCAATTGTGATTTTCATGATGCTAGGATTGAATCTATTCCGAACCACTATTCTCAATTGACAATTAACCTCTGATAAATATGGGTATGGAAAAGAAAAAGGTGTGAATAAAAGGAATTGTTTCTGGAAACTTCCGGAATCTTGGTTTATCAATCTTTGGATGTAAGCGCAAGTAAACCCAAAGCGCCAATAAGAACATACTGCAAGAAGCCAACATTCATCAGCATTGGGTCTAAAACCAAGAAATATCAATGGACTTTCTATTTTCTCCATATTTTATAGCATTGTAATTATACAATCGTTTTTTACTATAACAAGTCACAACATTATACTTTCAAAAATCAGAAAGTATACATACCTTTATAATCGGGTTTTCAGTCATTATTATTGTTACATAACCAACATAAGGTAAAAACCTGCAAATAAATGGTGCTTTTAGATCTTGAAACAAAATAGATAGTTGACTGGTTGACTTTATAGTATGACTTCCAAATAAAATATATTACTGAATCTAAACGTGTTGATCTTACCCAATGGCTCTACCCATGATATGCTGCCTTTGAAGCCATTGCTGACCTGGCGCATATAGAACTCGGTCATCCTGATCATTATTATCCCCTGAGAAAGATTCAGAAAGAAATTGTCATAAAAGAAGACTTGCGTTGTGTGAGAATTGGTATAAATTTATACAAAATAATACCTTTTGTAAGTACATCAATATCTGCTGTATCATTACGTTCATGAACCTGTAAAAAGAAGCAATAATATACAGTTAAAGAAACATCATGTTACTTGGTGGAAACTCAAGGGTTATAAAAATGTAATACCTTGATCACACGATGAACAATGGGAATCTCGCGACGCTGAATGAAATTTATTAAAAAAAAATGAAAAAGTTTAGAGATTAAACAGAAAAGTGATAAAGAGTCATAAAGGATTAGGGTAACAAAAAGAAATTGGAAGTCTTACATCAATGTTGAACACAACAATTTCACCTGCTCGAATAGGGTCTTCACCCATTCGTAAGAACAGAATATCTCCCTGATGATATAAAATATAATTGGGCATCGGTTTCAAGAAAATATATGAAGAAGAAATTAAAGAATTCTTACAAAGTTAATTGGACAAACTTACCCTTTGGAATGCAGGCTCCATGCTTTCAGAAAGAACAACTACAACAGGTGATTCACTACCAGTCACACACATCAGAAATTTCCATAAAATTAGTGCAGATGAAACAATCATACCTGAAGTCGAAACCAAAATGCATCTTAACTTAAGTAATCTGATAATCAATGTATCAAGTCACATTTTTTACTTTACTTTGGCGTGTCTTACACCATGTTAATAAAAACAACTAATAGTAATTCAAGTTATTTCAAGAAACAATCTTGATTGGAGCTAGAATCCCACTCGCAAATATAAAAACTTAAAGTTGTGAGTTATACACTAAAGAGTGCTCTGAAACTGCTACGTTAATGCAAATTTAGGTTTTCTCCATAAGTTTGAAAACCAAAGAGCTCAAACCAGATGATGTCAATACAATAAATTCAATGAAATTAGTCGATGAAACCAAAGTTTGGTTTCTTGACTTCTAATGTCGATTGCTTGTAAGGATTTTCATTTCACAGATATATATATAAGATACTACGGTTGATTGCATTTCCCGATTCAAACGCAAAAAACAAATTAAAATCCTTTCCTCTTGATGCATTCTTTCTGTTTTCATCCACGTTCCCTTTCATATTAACCTTGCACATTTTCGGGAAGATAAGAACCAGCCCTAATTCGGAAGCAACATTCTACTCCGATACAACAAAGGGTATAAAAAAAATCTGATCGAGATATTGAGAACGGAAGAATCCAGATAATGAAAATGGGGATAACAGAATTCTCATATCATATGCAGCAGAGATCAAACAGTAAAGCTATACATCTAGGTTACATTTTATGGACAGAGATAGGTAGCTTACCCAGAGTGATGGCCTGCTCTAAGGCTTGTCTGACTTTAATGGATTTCAACGAAGCGATCGAATCTCCGATGAAACCCATCGTCCTAAAGTTTCGATCTTTCTAATCTACTTGCGACTTCACTTTGACTCCGATTTCAAAAATCAACCTTTTAACTAGGGGACTGAGCGTGATTGAACGTTTATCGAATTCTCAACAAAACTTCCAACAGTTCTTTCCTTATATCTTGCTATATTTTGGGAAAAAATAATATTTGTGGGGCTGTTTGTTTCTAACATCTCTTTTGCATTTAATCCTAATATTTAGATGTCAGTTTCTAAAAAAGATTTCCAAATTAAAAAAGAAAAATATTGACATCGTTAACTACTTTCACTTTTTTTGTTGTCTTTTAACCAAAATTAAAGTAACATTTAAACTAAACTTATTAAAAGTCGGTTACTGATTATTTGGTTTATAATCAATATATATATATATATATATATATATATATATATATATATATATATATATATATATATATATATATATATATATATATACTATCTTATAAAAGAAATCTAACTATTTCTAAAAATAGATTGATTATAATAATAATATTTTTTTAAGACGTTCAAATGATAAAGCTGATAGTACAAGTAACAATTAATAAAATAATATTAAATTTTAACCACATTTTGATTTCAAAAATTTATCATCAAATCTCCTTATATTTCTCAACAATTTGATATGGTTCCTTCAAATCCCGAATTCATTTAAATTTTGAACCCTTTTAGATATTCTTAAATTTAGCATGTTGATTCAAATATCCCTCTAATCGCATATACTTCTTTGTTCCCTCGTCTGCTATAAAGCCCACCGTCCATGAACAAAAAATGACTTCATCTCCCAAATAACACCATAGTTTGATTATTTTGTCATCGATATGTACTTTCTTTTGTAACATAACATTTTTGTAGAGGAAACATATCACCGAAAGAATTTACACGCCCCGCCGCTTTGCGCGGGTACACTGCTAGTATATATATATGGAAAAATGAATATACCCTGAAGGGTATATAAGCTTAGGTACTCAAACCTACTTTAATTAGTTGTTTTGTTTGATATATTCATTATAATGTTATTAAACTTCAACCTTAACTTGATTTATTTTGAAGATTTTTGAAATTTTACTATTGTTTTCCTCTTATATCACATCTTTTTTCAGAACACCTATTAGGTTATATATATTAGAGTTGAAAATGAAAATTATGTAAGAGGAAGATAAATGTGAAATTTATAAAAAATTTATAAGTAAATCAAGTTAGAAGTTGAATTATAAGAATATTAGACAATTACAATGTATACATATTATACAAACAACATAGTATGATGACTTTGGGTACCTAAGCTTATATACTCTTAAGGGTATATTCACTTTTCCATATATATATATATATATATATATATATATATATATATATATATATATATATATATATACTTAAGGAAAATTATTTTATTTAAATCTTAGTGTTAGAAAAACTTTTTTAAATTCAAAAAAAATTAGTTTATTCGAACAACTTGCAAACTATAAAAAACTGATATTTTTTTTCTTGTTGACTGTAAAAGTTTAATCTGCATATGTCTACAAATATAATCTACAAACTCCAAATATTTTACCTCTTAGATAATAAACAACACATTAGTATAAGTCTCAAATTCATGACATCTAAGAATTAATAATTATGGGGAAAAAAAGGGGAAAAGGAAAAATGTATAATTTTATTTATTACATTCAACCCTTAAAATTATACTTACCGCCATCTCATTTTTTGGTTTTTTGGTTTCTCAACAAATGTATCACTATATATGTATAATTTTATTTACATGTCCTGAGTTTGAGAATTACACTAGGTATTTTTACTGCATTGTAAGATATATGTAAACATTAAATGCAACAAAGATGATAATACAAAGAAAAAGAGCTAATGGCTTACTAACTAAAATGTTGCGCAACTCAAAAAGTTGTACTTTCGAATCTTATATTCAATGCCTTTTTTTTTCCCTTTTTTTTTTACTTTAAGCATTACGTTTTAAAAAATCTATGGCTAAAATGATTTTTTTTAAAGATAATGGCAAATGCCAGATAGGAAACAAAAATATATTCAGGCAAAACACAAACTGAGACATAAAAGTTGAGATCAAATGAAAAAAGAACGGATAAACTAACATGTCATCATAACAAACAACAATGATATAACAATAAAAAAATCAAAATTACAATGATACAAAAAATAGAAGTTAAAACAAAATAAGACATATAAATAATGTTTTTTTTTGTTTTAACTATTTAATGTGATATTCAAGGATTAATAAAATAAAAAAGTTTTTTGTCTCAGATTTCACAAAATCTCAATTCTCAACTCTCCATTTGCATCCAATTGCATTATTTAGTAAGTCATCTTTTGCCACATGAAGATACCCCCAATGTGGCTTGCCGATTAGCATCCCATCTCTGTGATATATATATATATATAATATATATATATATATATATATATATATATATATATATATATAATATATATATATATATATATATATATATATATATATAAAAGCAATCACCATCATCTTTCACGTAATAATAAAGCATCTTCTAAAGTCTTTTGTCTTCATATCATATTATCTTCATATTATCATTGATAATGTCATGCATGCATTTGATAATAATTTTGATAATATTTGTTTATACTCTATACATATATATATATATATATATATATATATATATATATATATATATATATATATATATATATATATTATGTCCTTGTTAAACATCTAAATATCATACTTGCTCTTCTTAATGTTTTTTAATATCATATATACCCAAATACATTTATTTGATAATTTTTGTTGATTTATAATTATTTTACTTTTTTAAAATTGTTAAAACTAAAAACAACAACCAAATGGACAAATGGACAATATTGTCCTTAGTTCTAAATTGTAGGACTATATCACGTGTTTGAATTTAATTACGATCACAAAGGTTTCTTCCCTATCGCAACCTGCCTTCTTCCAAATCGTAATCTCTTAATACTTACGTGTAGCCTCCTATTCCCCCTTCTGATCTAGTTGACATCATCCACACACACATCCAACGCAAACATACTCTTCATTCAGGTGTAACACTAGTTTGTGAGCCACAATCTAATCTAAGGTCCTCTTCTTCGTTTCATAGCATTGATTGAGGGGTAAATCGGTTTTGCTTCTTGGAAGTGTTCATCTGAAAGTGATATTTGGGGTAAATCAATTTGGATTTTTGGGGTAAATTAATTGGATTTTGGAGGGTAAATCGATTTGAAATTTTGGTTATCATCATAAAAAATGTTGGTTTTGATGTTGGCTTATTCTTGAAAGTAGATGGATAAATATGGTTTGCTCTTTAAAGTTCAATTCTAATGTTTGTTTTTGTTGGATCAAAATGAATTAATGCAAGAAACTTAAGGAACCTTTGAACAATAAAAAAAAGAGGTTTTTATGTGTAGTAAATGCAAACTTTATTAACCATCTATCATTTTTTTTACAAAGAAACTTTACTAAGTCATATATACACCATGAACCATCACAATGTTTACTATAGCATTGCAAAGTTTCATGCACTAATCGACTATTATACCCAGTTGCCCCTATTAACCATAATTAACTACCAAAAGATCTTTTGTCTAACGGTAAGGAGTGATACTCTCAAATGAAATGTCATAGATTCAAGTCTTTTAGGAGATATAAGTGATATTTAGAAGTAGGTTTAGATAGTTTGTCGTTTCAAAATAATAATAATAATAGCTAACTAACTTTAATATCTAACTTAACTAATTGATTATAACTTCCATCAACCAATAACTTAACTAAGCCATATATACATGATGAAGCATCACTTAGTAAACATTGCAAAGTTTCATGCACTAATTGACTATTATACCCAGTTGCCCCTATTAAGCATAATTAACTTGACTGTTATACCAAGGTTCTAAAAAGTTCGCCATGGCTCCGTGATGGCGCGCCACGACTCCAAGGCTTGCACCTGCCGCCAAGCTTTACCAAAATACCGCTTTAACTCATATATGTGTATAAAAATAAATAATAGTTGAAAATACACATAAAAATATTAATTATAGAAAATTGCCGCCTTAACTCATGTCTTACAAACGTTAAGGCTTAACGTTGCCGCCAAGTCATGTCTTACGTTATTTAGAACCTTGGTTATACCCAATTGCCCCTATTAAGCGTAATTAACTAAACGTTATTTAGAACCTTGGTTATACCCAATTGCCCCTATTAAGCATAATTAACTAACTTTAATATCTAACTTAAGATTATAACTTCCATCAACCAATAACTTGAAATGCCTAGAGTACCCTTCAACAGTTTCAACTCATTGCTATGTGTTTTACTTTTGAAGTTATGGAGCTTTGGCTGGTTTTGTTTCCGAAAATTCAAGCCTATATTGGATGATGTAATTAAATGTCCGAAAATTCAAGCTTATATTGGATGATGTAATTAAATGTATTAAGAGGCTGCAACTGGTAAGAATGCAGGCTACAATGGGAAAGAAGCCCCTGCAACCGTAATTAACTTCAAACACACACACACACACACACATATATATATATATATATATATATATATATATATATATATATATATATATATATATATAATAAAAAACATTTGGTGTAATTACAATATTAAGAGTTCAGGTTGGACAAACACAACATTTAGTTGTTTAGCAAGAGTATATATGAAATTTTGCCTATACATATGGTTTTCAATTCCCTACAAATAGAACATAATATTGATATATTCTTATATATTTTTGAATATTAAAAAAAATAAGATGATGTGGTAAGACCATTTCTTATCAATTTTGTGTAGTGAAAGAAAGATATTGAAAATGATGTAGTGCCGACGTGACATAAAAAAATGTGGTATCACACACCGGTTTAAGAAAAATCAAATATCTTTTTACTTTTTCTTCCTACTAACTAAATCGAGATAAGTTTCAAAATCAAAATAATAATTTAAGAGACCTAATGGATTCTACACGTGATCAACCATAAATTAAAGAATTTTTTCTTATATTTTACAAGTCATACCAACCAAAAGATAAACTCACATGTGATCAACCATTTGTTTTTACCCCATAAACAAAGATGCAAAGTTGATGTCCCCATTTTAAAATTCAATTACCAATTAATACCACTTGTACAAGAGAAA